CAAGAGTGCTCACGGAGAAGCTTTGCTCTTGTGAACAGTTGCACGAAATCCAGTGGATCTGTTCTACCAGAGGCAGGGTGCCGCCGTCTTGGCCCTTGGGATCCCAAGACGGGACTGGGCAGCCACGTGGGATTTGCAGAGGGCACGTGCAGTGCCTGGGCTGGCCACGATGTTGGCTTCAAACTGCACCTCTATAGCAGGCGCTGGAACAGGACCCAGCCCTGAACTACTTGAATAACTTGTCCTCTTCACCGGGATTATCCTCACAGCCACCCCAGTGAGATGGGAGAGAGCTGTTACCCCCATCTGCACCAGGAAGAACTAATGTGCCAAAAGGCTGAAGTCAATATTTTTTAAAAGGCACCTAAAGATGCATCTAGACCCTTTTTACAAGTGTTTAACTGCCTAGCTGGGGGACGAATGGGGTTAAAGGTACCTAATATGCATCATTAGGAACTTATTTACTTTTGAAACTATGGATTAAATGACTTATCCAAGACCACACGGGGGGCCTGCGATAGGCCAGTCTTGAACCTATGTCTCGAGGCTTAGCCTCATGCCCTGATCATTGCTCCATCTCTCCTCTCAAGACAGGTACTTCAATGCTAATTTAGCAAGGAGGGTTGCAGGTCAGAGATGAGCAGCCGTGTATCAGCGCAGAGTACTTTACACGGTCACCATCACAGCCTTCTTGTGAGCCTGGCGCTCCTTCATCATTCAAACCACTGTGGCAACCCCACAGTAAGCGCAGGGACTGCTGCAGCGGTGTTTTTGGACAGGAGTGTTTGCATAACCAGCATAAAGAAAGCCTGTGTGTCATCTCGTTGGAAGAGTTTTAATGTGGTGGTTGAACCTGCCTCTCTGGCTTTCCCAGGAAGAACGGAGACCTAGACTGCCCCATGCGCTCATCCCTGAAGCTAATCAGCTAGCAGGCCTTGGCTTCTGCACATTCCTCTCTTCCTCCCTTGAAGCCCACTCCTTCACCTTAGCTCCTGCTAATGGTCCCCTCCCTAGAGAGCCTTTCCTCTGCAGCTCTACACACCGCACTAGCAAAGCACAGGGAGCCCCCAAGGGCGACGCACAGAGTAAAACCTAGCAGACACATCATCAGTAAGCCGGTCTCTGGGGAGGATGCTGAGGCCCTCCCATTCAGTCGTCATCTCTACATCTTGCTTGCGTGCAATAGTGGAGGAATAGGTGTGCCTCTCTAGAGGCAGCTGAAGAGGTGCAGATACCCTGTTGCTCTGTCCTGGCATTCATCAGGGTGGATCCTGCCTGACTGCTCAGTGCTTGTGTATGTACCCTGTCTCGGGACTGACCGTGGATTCCCGCGTCTTTTTTAGGCTCTCTACAAGCATTCAGGAGGGTGTGGTGAAGTCTCATTGACATTCCTCGTAGTGGACCCAGCGCTAGGCCAGCCTCCCGTCCTCTGTTGCATCGGGGCCACGGAGCAGCTTCAGCCGCCATGAAACAACCCTGCCCCTACTTGGACCATTCCTTCTCCCTGCGCTGGTCTTTCATGCATCTGCCTCGCATCCCACCCAGCTGCTCAGGCTGGTTGGCCCTAAGAAACTAAGTTAATAACTGTTTTCAGGGATGCAGCAAAGCTCCCCTGGACCTCAATGATGCAAGCCTGGGCCCACAGACGGAGAAGGAAACTCATCATTGCTTTGCCTGAGATGACCGGGTATTGGCTAGAGAGAGCACTTGGGTGGGTGAAGCAAGGAGACCTCTTTGCCATCACACAAAGAAGCTGAGGCTTACCTCAGTGTTTCTTCACCTTCCACTGCAGTGAAGGCAGCGACAAACCCTACACAAAGTGCCCTTCCTTCTCTACCCCAGGCTCCCCAAGAGGATTACACAAGCCACAAACCACGCAAACCTCATACGAGTTTTAAAGAGCTACGAAGACGACTTAAAAGACCAGCTGCCCATCACAGAGCGGGCATTCGGCTCGGGCGGAATAAAGGCATCTGGTAGCACGGCACACATTAAAGCAACTTTGCCATCGATCCGGCTGTAAAGAACTAACAAGTTCAGCACAGGTCTAGTCTATAAACGCTCCTGGAATTAGAGGCATCAAGGAAGCAACAGGACGTGTTGTGGTTTTTATTACAGTAGTTAAATGCTCCCGAGTTGGTTGCGTGGATTTAAGAATTCCCTTGTACCCAGTGGGTAGGCTAAAAGGGGGGGAGGGAAATAACCAAGAGACATTGAATCCTATCTTTTCCTAAAACCAAAGCTAAGCCCACCATCTCCTTGAGCAGAGGCGGTCGGGTGCCCGCCGCTACTTGGACTTACCATGGCAATAAGCAAGATTTGCCCCCACCCCACTTTATTTTCCCCCCCTCCAGCTCCTCTGTCCCTCGCCTAAGCAGCCTCGTTCAGCGAGTTGCATCTTTGATAAGCAACCGGCAGCAGGGAGCCGAGTTCCCCGTGGGAGCAGCTCGCACAGTTTATTTTTTGCACATGCAGCTCCTGCCTCTCCAGAGGTGGGGACGGAGCTGCCTCCTTGACATCACTGGAAAAATGTAGGCTGGAGACGGAGAGGCATGAGAAAACTCTGAGCCCGGAGGCTGGGGCGCTCTGCTGTATTCGCACCAGGCCCCCTTGACCACGCTCCAAGGAGGAAGCTGCCGTGTCCAGTCTTCCTAAATCGATTGGCTTTTATCGACGGACGAAACTCCAATGATCTCAGCATAAACTAGAATAGCTATTCGGTTTTCCTCCCCCCATGCCCTCCCCCAACGCGCGCACACACACACACACACACATCCAGCTGCTGTCTGACTTCCCAACACCAGGGCTAGAGATTGGTTCATTGACGCCTTTAACATTGCCGGCCGCTGAATCCTCTTTCTTGGGCGAACGGCTTCCCCTCTCCCCCGGCGCAGCCCAATCCCCTCCTCCAGAGCTGTCATTTTCTTTAGGAGTTTTGTCTATGGAGTCTTAAAAAAATGTCAAAGTGATGTTGTTTTCCTCTTACCCTCTTTGCAGGAGGCGACAGCGGGGTCCTCAGCAGTTCACTTCCTAGGCTGCTCCTCCCTGCCAGGCCAGCTGTGGTCCAGAGTGTCCCAGGGCAGGGTGATGAATGAGCCGGACTTTTATATTCCTGGGAGCTGGGGAATGACTCCCTGAGCTGCTGGCATCTGATCTCACCGCTCTCCGTTGTGCCAGCCCCTCCTACTTTTCCCTTGCCTCCGTGTTAGCAGCTCGGTGTGTGTGTTAGTTACCAAGATACGGTTCTACAGGCTAAGCTAGCCTGGCTCTTCCCCAAAGCAGAGGGAGGCAAACTCTCGGCGTCTGCCTGTTAAAGGAGCCGCACGGCTTCCTAGGAAATAAGGAGCTTTGCACTAGGGATGAAGCACCATTTTTTTCCGGCGGCCGTGGGCGGCCCTGGTCCGCAGAATGCAGGTGTCGGTCCGATCTGCGCCACGCGTTGCCCCGGTGGCTTTGTTCTGGTCGGGTCGCCGTAGCTGTCGCCCTGCGTCCCAAATAAACACGCTCTTCTGTCCTCTTTTACGCCCGGTGTGGTTTTTAAATGCATGAGCGAATTAAGCCTTCTCGCCCCTCTTCTGCTGACACAGCTCCCTGGCCCCATTGTACAGAAAAGGGAACTGAGGCGCAGAAATGTCGCCGAAGCCACCCAGGTAGACTGAGGCCAGACCCCAGCTGTCTCATCCAGGCTTGTGGTTTAAAAAGAAGACTGTGTTTCTCTTTTATTCAAGGGACTTCTCCAAAAGGCTCCTTCACTTTTATTTATGTACATTATAAGCTGGAAACAAGAACTCATGAAATGCTGATGAGCCCAGCAGCTGCTTCTGCCTGACAGAGGAGATGGGCCACCAGCCCTTATTGCCCGTTCCTTCCTCAGTCTCTCTTCTACCCCGGGCCCCCGGTGAAGGCATCCAGGTCCTCGGCTGCACTGCAGACACCCTCTGCACCAAGTCCTTTCTCTCCTCAGTGCCTCAGTTCCTGACCTGTGAAATGGGGAGAATAATACAGCTTTATCTTGCCGAGATGGGGTGAGGGTGCCTTGGTATCACAGTGACAAGGGCCGTGCAAGTCCTTGAGGGCCGGCGAAGTTGGGAACAAGTGTGCTTCTAAAAATAAAACCATGTGGGAGGGGTTTTAGTTTCATTGAAGCCTTGAAAATCAG